TAGAGAAATACTCATTCTTATTCCAGTTTCTCTGGACCCAGCATCTGTAGCAGGGGAACAGCTATATTACCATAGTGAGAGAACCTAAAAGATATTTAAAGAATTAAGAGAGGGAGAATGGTATTTATATCTATTTTTGGCAGAGTCCATGCTGCAGTCAGATAATGTTGAACCACCTGTCAAGAAATCAGGGAAAGTTCTTCTGTCCCTGCCAGTCGGTCAATTATTCCCATGCTTCAGCATACCTAGGATTACTATATTTAAACATTAAAAAAAGAGGACACTCCACAAGGCCCGGGGCCCCGGCCCCGCCCCAACTCTGCCCCTTCCTCGCCTCAACTCCGCCCCTTCCCCAAAGTCCCCGCCCCCTCCCCTGAGCATCCCACATTTCCCCTCCCAGCCACGCAAAACAGCTGCCTGAGCGCTACCGGCTGCACGGTTTGCCGGGCAGACCTCCAGACCCTGCACCCCCGGCCGGGCGCTTCCCCGGCGCAGCCGGAGCCCGGGAGGGGAAGCACCGGGCCAGCGGCGCAGGGTCTGGAGGTCTGGGGGCTGCCCGGCAAACCGTGAAGCCGGTAGCGCTCGGGCAGCTCGGCTCTTCAGCTGCACAGAGCTGAGGTTTCTGGGGGAAGCTGCAGGAGGATTCCCCCGCGGCAGTGGTGGCGGCTGCTCCTCCTCATATCTTGATGGTGTGTATGCAGAGAAAGAAATTTGCAGAATTCTTGTGCTTTTGTTTTAATTCTGCTGTCTCACGTGTTTTTTCTTTCTGTTGGATGCTTCAGCTGAGAGACACAATGCCCTGGAGTGGAATGGAACATAATCTGAGGGTACTAAGAGATTCTCTGCTGTGGTGGCAGGCTTGATGATTTTGCCTATGGGATGGAAATCCATCCAGTCCTTTCTGTGGAATTGACCATGAAAACTAAGTGATGAAAGCTGCAACCTCTCAAAGAGTATTTGTTTTATCTTGTCTTCTATGAGCTGAAATTACTCATTTCACTGTAGAAGGTAAAGGGTTTAACTGGAAGAGTGTGTGAGGCTTTAAATACCCATTTCAAAGGCCTATTTAATCTGGGGTGGGTTAGTTGTAATGACATAATCCAAAAATAACAGTCTCCTCTCTATGCTCATCCTTGCTCCAGGGCTGCAGCTAAAGGATGGCAAATGCTAATCTCCTAATGTTAAGGCCATGACGTATTTGTCAACGGTTTGCCACAGCTTAGAATTCCATTGGGGTTTTTCATATTTGTATGTGGACTGAGACGTTAATTCAGGTTCAGTATTTTGATTCAACTAGAACAGGGGTAGGCAACCTATGGCACGCATGTCAAAGGTGGCACGCAAGCTGATTTTCAGTGGCACTCACACTGCCCGGGTTCTGGCCACCGGTCCGGGGGGGGGCTCTGCAATTCAGTTTAGTTTTAAATGAAGCTTCATTTTAAAAACCTTATTTACTTTACATACAACAATAGTTGAGTTAGATATTATAGACTTCTAGAAAGAGACCTTCAAAAAAAATTAAAATGTATTACTGGCACGCAAAACCTTAAATTAGAGTGAATAAATGAAGACTCGGCACAGCACTTCTGAAAGGTTGCCGACTCCTGAACTAGAAAATATATATTACTTGGTTTGGCCCTTTAATGTAAACACTTAAAGGGGAGACTGCCTCCTACCTAATGGTCAGGCAGACTTTCTTCTTTCTCTCCTCCCCACTCCTTTCCAAAATCCTTCAAAGGAAATAGTTTAAAAAAAAAAAAACCCACCCCAACCGCAACTATGTAATGCCCTGCTAATGTACATGAAGCATGAGGGGGTGTGAAGTGGGGGGAACCTCAGTTGGACTAATTTATATTTCTTTACTTAAACGAGTCATCTGATGGCTAGTGGTATCCTTTGGTTGCCAAGAGATTAGTCAATTGGAGCTGCAGCACCCCTGTTTATCTCATTTCTATATTCCTATCAGCCTCTAATCACCTGAATTCTCCCATGCAACTGTCCCAACCTGAGGTTGCGTTAGCAATACCACTGGAGGAAGGGCAGTCCCTTTCCCAGTGAGTAGCTCCAATGCCATTACTAAACATTTATGAAACACATGAAATAAGTGAATGTTAATTTTTTTTCCAAGGAAGGTAAGAGATGGGAATACTGTAATACTTACACTAAATATGCAAATGCTAGTTTTAATAAAATGAAAAGATATTTACTGTTTATCCGTTGCAGGTTTATAGAAGTGTGACATGCAGTGTAAGTGCTAGCAAACAACTCTTTTCTCTATTTTCTTAAGTGGATTGGCTGAGCGGATTGGATAGGGCCAGAGGAGTGGCATCTTCACCCGGAGGTCTTTGACTCAATAATCAGAGCCCTATGTCGCCAATCACTCAGCTTCTTTGCTTCCATATTCAACATGAAGATTTCCCATTTCTTCTCTAGGTGAAGGGACCGCTGACCCCGTAGCCACATATATGCTTTCTTGTCCATGGCCAGAAGGATTGCTGTATACCTTTTCCTTGCTTGCAGTACTCCTCTAGGCAATTCAAAGAATAAAGGAAAGGGCAGAGTAATTCTAGTGGCCCCTATTTGGTCAATAAGGCCCTCCCTAGTTTTCAGATGTAATTGAGATGGCATCTTACTATCCGCTACTTCTCCCACACAGGAAGGATCTTCTGTTGCAGGCAGCTAAAACAAGGATAGTCACAGGATCTCAGATGAGCATTTTAGCTTCTAGGAAAAGATTGACAAATAGGACATATTTGAGGACTTGGTTTAGATTTAGGACTTGGTGTGAAGACTTCATGTAGAACTGGCCAAGAAAAAGGCAAATAATGTATCGGAATTTCTGTGGAGAGGTCTTGCATTGGGCTTAAACCTCAAACAAAAATTTCAATAGCTGTAATTTTCAGTATTTTACAGACAAATGCAAGATGATCTCTCACCGGGACATTGGAAGGCTTTTTGGAGCAGCCTCCTTGGCATCTAAATTTAGTGTTAAATACCCTAAATAAACCACTTGAACCTCTGTCACAAATATCTGTTTCCACAAAAAATGTTTTTTCCAGTTGCCACTGCTTCAGCAAGAAGAGTTTCAGAACTAGAAGCTTTATCAGCTGAACCACATCACTGCACTTTCCAGCAGGACAAAGTTGTTTTAAGAACTAAGGCAGTTTTCATTCCTACAGTAAATTTGGTATTCCATAGGCACAGGTCCTTTCGTCTTTCTGTCAGCATCCAAGTCATCCTATCAAAAACTGTGGCATACGCTGGTTGTTAGGAGACCACTGCAGATCTAAATTGAATGCACTAGCCATTTCAGAATACCATTGTTGCTTTTTGTTTTATACTATTCATCAGTGAATTGATACCTTGGCTGCTTTCTGACATCTCCAGTGACTAAAATGGTGCATCGCAGAATCTTACAAGGCCGGAAGCCTTCCTGCTCCCACAAACGTCCATGCTTATTCTCTGAGTAATGGCTGCTTCCTGGGCTGAAAGGTCATATGCATCCTACAAAGAGGGAAGGCAGTCGCTTGTTTGTCAGTACCCCTCTTTACAAAGTTTTATAAGCTGGATGTGCAAGCCTCGTGTGGCTTTTGATCAAATGATTCTGCGTGCCATGATATCGCAGTGACCAGATAGGAGTCTTACTCAGTTGTGTATACTTAATTATACTATACCATCCTTGGCTACTTGCTGATATTGGATGTACCACCTCTATGGGATCTGCAGACCTCCCTTGTACAGACGAATAGGAAAATGTATTTTAACATACTGAAAGTTTCTTTTGTTTTAGTGGGAAGCTCTGCAGACCTGTCTTGCCCACAACAAGCATTTTTCATTTCCAGGAGACTAATTTCTTTTTGTTCTTGACATTTTCACTTGCCATGCGTTAGGCCAGAATTAATACCTGCTCTGCTGCAAGAAATCTTAATATATTAAGTTTCTGGTGTTTCAATAAGCTACTAATCCTTTGAGAATTTAATACATGAGCAACAGCTGTAAAAGCATCTTGAACTGATGGAATTTGCAAGGGGATAGCCATTCCCATCTTGTCCTGATGGAAAACCATTGTAAACAGTCTGTGGTGATCTCAGTGGAGAGGCCAAGGATTTAGTGAGCAGGGAAGAGATTGAACTACTCTCAGCCAGGTGTGTGTGTGTGAGATCAGGGTGAGGATTGACGTACATTGTTGGAATGATGTGGTGAAGCTTGTATTGCACCGTGCATGCTGTGGGTAACTAGAGGAATTCCTCTGTTCAGGGCTGTCAATCTGACACCTTTCCTGAGTCTTTAAAGTTCATTTAACCAAGACAAGTAATTTATTATTTGTATTATCCGCACCTAGGAGCCCTCATCATGGACCAGGACTCCATTATGCTAGGCACTGTACAAACACAGAACAAAAAGATGGTCTCAGCACACAAGCAGCCTAATAGTTGTCAAGTTTTTTGTAGGCATTGTGGAAAAGGAGAGTTTTGAAGGAGGGATTTGGAGGAGGAGAATGAGGTAGTTTTATGAATATTTAATATATGCACATCAGCTGTTTACCTCAACTCATTTCATGGTTCTGTAGCATCTGACTTGTTCCATTTCATTACCTGGATTATAAATGAATGTGTTTAAGTAGAGTCTGAGTATATGTTCTATCATCATGTTTATGTTGAGCCCCAGCTTCTATTTTTTCCCAGTTCCAGAAATGTGTAGTGGTTTTGATTTGCCTAGTTTTATCCTGATAGTTTTAGTTATTTTCACTGACCGTGCAAAGCTGCAAGATCTGTGAAAGCAAGGTAAATAGCTTTGTTTGGAACTTTTAGCATCTCTTCAAAGCCCACTTATATTTTTTTAAAGAAAAGTTTAAAGTTCATATAAAAACTCTAGTGCAGTTGGCGGTTGATCATTTAACGAACTTAGAGGTCTGGACTTTGTTTGGTTATAAGCATCTTTGTTTTAGATGGGATTTTCAATAGCTCTGTCCTAATGCATGGGAGGTTTCTTCCACTCAGGTTAGTTCAACATGGCAGACCAGAGGCAACGTTCGCTGTCTACCTCCGGAGAATCGTTGTACCATGTTCTAGGACTGGACAAGAATGCCACTTCTGATGATATAAAAAAGTCATACAGGTAAAGGGTCAAAAGTCTGGTCCCTGACACTTCACAGAGCATGTTTGCTAACCTTTTCAGATAGTCAGAATGTCATGTTCAGAGTGTTATGTAGTCTGAGCTTATATTTATCAATACTTCTTAAGATGAAACTAGATGTTTTCTTCTATGTCAACTGGGGTGAGAATATATAGAGTACTTCACATGAGCTGTTAGCAAATTTTGAAAATTCAGATATTGGAATTAAACTGCTTGTTTTTTTGATAATTGAATTCTTGCAGATCATTTCTTTCAGTATTTAACTTAATCATGTTAACAAATGTGTAGGCAAGTGTGTTAAGAGTTAAACTCTTTGCCTAGAAGTTATGCAATTTCTTGCCAGCTCAACAAGAAGCATAATTGTGCCCAATCATGTCTAATTCCCTGAGCAAAGGAACATGCACTGAAGAGACAAATGATGTACATTAACTTTTGTATCAGCAATGTGTTTTAGTATCTGTAAAAATCAGTTCACATTTTTTCACATTAGACTTGAAATACTGATTTTTTTTTTAAAAGCCAGGTTTGACTTTTAACCTTAAAAAAACAAACAAACCTGAAACTGCTTTGCATTATCCAATTTTTTAATCTTATTTTTGGGGGCGGTGGAGGGACGTCACAGTGCTGTTCTTGTGTTTAATTGCAACTCATAAATATTGTGCTACAGTTCAGTATGGTTATAGTTAACAAATGGCAGTGGCTTGAACATTACACTAGGGGTCAGTAGTAATCTTTGCCTGTGGATGCTCTTAAAAGGAAAACTATTTTCTTTCATTTTTGTCCTTTTTTCAAAAGGGCAAAATTAAAGGAAGTTACCTTTATAGTACTAATAATATTGACATGAAAGTAAAGATGACCCACAAGTATCGAAAGATTAGATAAAATGCTCTCAAAATTAATTGAAATTTGACACAGTAAAAGCTATTAACCTGACACATGAAACAAGTTTTACCTTATAGGGAAAATGACAAACAGTTTTTCTTTAGAGTGATCATTTTCCTTACAGAAACTAACCAGGTGAAGCTGCTTGTGTAGTTTTTTACAGACTCTTTCTAAGACCACATGCTTCCTGTGCTGTTCATGTTTATAAATTTGAGACTTATTCCCTCATTTCATTTCTCTAGAAAAGCAAATCGCTTTCCCAGCCCCACTACACAATAATGGTTTCACATGAATGATAGTGATGTAATCGGTATTAAACTACAGAACACTGTGTAGTGGAGCCATCATCTCCGAACTCCTTCAGCATCTCATGGACTTGTTATAGAATTTATATATTGGAAATGGGAAACATTAGCTTTATTTAACATAAAGATGCAGGAGTAAGTCTGTTTTATAGATTATTTGGAATCTGTGATATAGCACAGTACATGTAAAAATCTCTCTCTTCACTGAGACTATGGCATTACTGGTGAAACCGAGAAATAGCCCTCCAAGTAATATTGCCATTTCTAGGGTCAAAGTTTTTAGTGCATGCTCATCTTAGATCTGCACATGCATGTCAAGATTTGTGTACACACATGTTCCAACCCTCATTTTTCAGGTGCCCATCAAGGTATTGCCACACCTAAGTCTAGCACATGCAAAAGTTTATACAGCCTTTCCAATGAGTATTTCTGAAAATATGGCAACTAATTTAAGGTCTCATATGGCAAATTTCTATAGCAGGTTAAACAACCATTTCCCCCCACCACAGAAAAGGGCCAAATATAGTTCGGTGGCATTACCCAGATTTTGTACCACAGAATTACAATGGCTCAAATAAAGTGTGGAAGATTGGTTTCTCTTTTCATATCTATTAATAGGGTATTTTACCAGTTTTTCTTCAGAGATTCTTTTTATTCTCTTCCGAGTGTCTGAACTTTCAAATTTAAACAGCATTCAAAGATCAAAAGAACCTTTTTGTTCCTGAATTCAGTGACCTCAACAGGCTATATAAACTTTCAGATCCATTGTAGCCACGTTGCTGAAAACTTAATGGAGTCTATAATGATTTTCTGATATCTGGTAACTGTGAAAGTTAATTCCTCCACAAGCACATCTTGAATTGAACAATAGGCTGTTTCAGCACAATGATTTGAGCACTGATCCCAAATAATTGTCAGTTCTATTTTTAGTTTACTAGACGTTGCAAGTTAGATGTGGCAGCATTCTCAGATGTGGCCTTCAGAACCCTGTCATAGATTTGTTGTGCTTTCTATACTGTTATGTATGTCCCCCTTCAGTTGGAGCATTGCTACTCAGAACTTCACGGTACAAATTGCTGGATCAGATGAGCAGAAAAGAAAGCTTCCTCTGTTTTTGTACTGAAGTCTCAATCTGAAACTCACCCTGTGAGCTCTGCTAGGCTAGTGGGATAGACCATATAGAAAGATTACACTTTTGTTACCGTCTAAAGGAGACTCAATGGGGCAATGGAAAGATAGAAGTGAAGTAAATCGTAATTCTGTAAATACTCTTGCCTGAGACTGGAGAGCCTGTCCGCTTTGATGGGAGGAAAGATGGACAGGTCAATCTACCCATTGTAGTAGGATGAATTACAAAAAAAAGCCGCTGAGAATTTTTTTCTCCCACCCCACAGGAAACTTGCATTGAAATATCATCCTGATAAGAACCCAGATAATCCAGAGGCTGCAGATAAATTTAAAGAGATCAACAATGCACATGCAATATTGACTGATGCCACAAAACGAAACATCTATGATAAGTATGGCTCCTTGGGTCTGTATGTAGCAGAGCAGTTTGGAGAGGAGAATGTCAACACATACTTCGTCCTATCCAGCTGGTGGGCAAAGGTAAGTGAAATAAAGATTTCTTTGCACTTATTCTGAACAGATGCTTAGCCATTCCATAGGTGCTGTACTACTGTTGGTAATTGGATATTCATGGTATTTTATTTCATTTATTTGATATTTCTGGCACCTATCCAGAACTCTAGACAGATCCCAACATTTAAAACACCATTAGAAAATCTGTCTTCATACAATACTTTGATCCATCAAATTTCCAATTACAAATTCCCAGTTAATAGACTCTTCCACACAAAACTGCACACCGTAGCTAGTCATTTAATAGAATCACACCTCCGTCACCCTCCAGTTTCCTTTGCCTGTGAACCCTCAACCTCCCTAAATGATTAAGAGAAAAGATAAGATTAGCAGTGTGGCCAGGAAGATTAACAAATCTGAGCTCTTGTAGACTAATGAGGGAAGCAAATTCAAAAGCTGAGGACCCCCTCATGGAGAATGCCCTCCCATTTGTGTTGAGGTCTCTAGCTTAGGCATCTGCATTGATTTTAACTGTGACAACATGGCCAAGGAAAGAGAGGCGGTCCTTTAAGCAACCAGTTTCTGAAACATTTTAAGGCTTAATAGATTAAAACAGGCACTTAGATAACTTCCCAGAAATGTATTGTTCATCAGTATCTCTCTG